CAGGAGTTGGAGGTTGCTGTGAGCGTGATGCCATGGCACTCTACCCAGGGGGATAGCTTGAGGCTCCGTCTCAAAAAAATAAAAGAAAATTAATCCAAACTTTCATGGATATTAAAATTGCCTTGGCCCTTAAGAGTATGACCAAGTTCAGAAAGTGGTTCTCAAACACTTTGGTCTTGGCTAAAACCTGAACTTTTTTTTTTTAATCACTGCTATATAAATCAAGGACAGATGAAAAGAACCAGTACAAAATAGATCTCCATAGAATATTATTCAGCCATATATATGAATGAAACTCTGCCATTTTCAGCAACACAGATGGAACTGGAGATCATTATGTTAAGTGAAATAAACCCAAGCACAGAAAGACAAATATTCCATGTTAAAAAAGTGGATTTCATGGGGGTAGAGAGTAAAACGGTCGTTATAGGAAGCTGGAAAGTAAAAGTAGGGGATGAAGTTGGTTAATGAGTACAAAAATACAGTTAGTAGGAATAAGTTTTAGTATGTGACAGCACAATAAGGAAAGTATAGTAAAAATAATTTAATATACATTTCAAAATAGCTAAACAAACTGTAATGCTCAACACAAAGAGAAGATAAATATCTGAGGGGATGGATATTCCAATTACCCTGACTTGATCATTATACATAGTATACATATATCAAAATATCACATATACCCCAGAATATGTACAACTATGATATGTCAATTTTAAAAACAAACAAATAAAACATCTCAAAAAAATGAATAACCATTGTTGGGGGCTTAGCACTTACAAGAAAACATACAATGAAGTCAGTTTAGACATACAACCTGGTACACATGCATGTAGCTTTATTTACTTCTGGTCTTTAATCCATCACATACTCCTAAGATACTTAGCAGCTGATAAACCTACCAATATTGCCATGGTGAGCTCCTCTCTAATATCTTCCAGGGCACCAATATCTGCCCATGTCACATTAGGGACAGTGACAAAGCCTTCCCTTTTGGCAGAGGGTTGGACTGAAGACAGAGCAACAATGAAATCATTCAATTCAATGCATAGTCCTTGCATCTGCTCCTTTGAGAGGGGATCTTGGTCTCTTAGCAACCCCAGTAGCCTTTGTAATTCATCCTTAAAGGGAATAATTGAGGGGACAAAAACAAACAAACCAACCATATATTGAAAAGGTACATTTCCTACTTAAAAAAATTATTATTACAGTATTTCTGTAAGCCATAGTAAACTTCCTTTTTTTCTTTTTGAGCCCAGCTATTTTTTGTGGCAGTTTTCATTGTTGTTTAGCTGGTCCAGGCCACGTTTGAGCCCGCCAACTTCAGTGTATGTGGTTGGTACCATAACCACTATGCTACGGGTGCCAAGCCAACTTCCATGTATTTTAATAGTTTTCTCAGCCAGGCACCATGGCTAATGCCTATAATCCTAACACTCTGGGAGGCCGAGGTGGATGGATTGCCCAAGCTCACAGGTTTAAGACCAGGCTGAATCAGAGCGAGACCTCATCTCTAAAAATAGTCAGGCACTGCGGCAGATGCCTGTAGTTCCCGCTAGTTGGGAGGTTGAGGCAAGAGAATTGCTTGAGCCCAAAGAGTTTGAGGATGCTGTGAGCTATGGTGCCATGGCACTCTACCCAGGGTGACAAAGTAAGACTCTGTCTCAAAAAAAAAAATTAGTTTTCTCTTCTTTTGACATGAGAGTTACATTTATTTTATTCTAAATTGGTCTAGTAAAGGTACACCAACTACAGTCAAATATATAAGAATTCTTTCTTTTTTTTTTGAGAGAGAGTGCTGTGGTATCACAGCTCACAGTAACCTCAAACTCGTGGGCTCAAGTGATTCTCTTGTTTTAGCCTCCCAAGTAGCTAGTATTACAGGCACCCGCTACAATGCCCAGCTATTTTTAGAGATGGGGGTCTCGCTCTTGCTCAGGCTGGTCTTGAACTCAGGCAATCTACCTGCCTTGGCCTCCCAGAGTACTAGGATTACAGGTGTGAGCTACTGCACCTGGCTGTATAAGAATTATTTCTATATACCATTACTAGGGCTAGATACAGCAAACACAAGCAACTGACAAATGCTCATTCCAGTAACCATGATAGTTTTCCATATTTCATTTATAAGTATTCAGGAAGTAGCTGAATTTTGATGACATTAAAACAAAGTTGCTCAGGTGGTAGAATAATTTCATTAATATGGTTCCTTTATCAACTAAATAGAGAGCGATTTTTCTGTTACTAACAAGCCAAACTTCAAAGGTTAGATTTCTTGCCTTGAGAACATGAAAGGAGAGGTGTAAAAAACACTAAGTAACTCTAAGTAGTTGAATTTAAGAAACTTAAATTCATACAAACTATTATAAAATAAATGAGTTTATTACCTTTATTTATTTATTCATCTGTTTATTTATTTATTTTGAAACAGAATCTCACTCTGCCCTTGGTAGAGTCCCGTGGCATCACAGCTCACAGAAAGCTCAAACTCTTGGGCTCAAGTGATCCTCTTGCCTCAGCCTGCCGAGTAGCTGGGACTGCTGGCATCTGCCACAATGCCTAGCTATTTTTTAGAGATGGGGATCTCGCTCTTGCTCAGGCTAGTCTTGAATTCATGAGCACAAGTAATCCACCTGCCTCAGCCTCCCTGAGTGCTAGGGTTAAAGGTGTGAGCCACCATGCCTGTCCAAATTTATTATTTTTTGACAGAACTGTGGTTTCAAATGAGTATAAAAAATCAAATGAGGCTCGGCGCCTGTGGCTCAATCGGCTAAGGCCCCACCCACATACACCTAAGGTGGCGGGTTCAAATCCCCAGCCCGGGCCCGCCAAACAACGATGGCTGCAACCAAAAAATGGCCGGCGCTGTGGCGGGCGCCTGTGGTCCCAGCTACTTGGGAGGCTGAGGCAGGAGACTCGCTTGAGCCCAGGGGTTGGAGGTTGCTGTGAGCTGTGATGCCATGGCACTCTACCCAGGGGGATAGCTTGAGGCTCCGTCTCAAAAAAAAAAAATCAAATGATATGAAAACTATAGGTGTGGCTTTGGGCAAGTCACAACTTAGCTTAGTATGTCATTATAAAATGGGAAAAATATATTTACTTCAAAAGGTTACATGGATCAAATTATATAATAGAGAAGATTCCTATTGAAATTATAAAATGCTATATATAAATGTTATATGGAGTTTGCATGACCCACAAAACTCAAAAATGTAACACTGATTTGGACTAACAAATGATCTTCTCATATTCACCCAAGGGTCTTTCAAAGGTGTTTGCAGCTAAGGACAAGGACACTAGCAAACTTTTTCTGTAAAGGATCAGGTAGTAAATACTGCAGGCTTCATGGGCCATTTGCCCTTTGCTGCAAAGACTCCTGTGTGAATTCTCCTATGAAATGCAAAAGCTGGAAGAGAACCTGTTTACAGGCTCACTGTAAACAAATGAACACGACAGTACTCCAATATCACTTAAATTCACATAAACAAATGGTAGGGGGCAGGGCCTGTGGCTCAAAGGAGTAGGGCGCTGGTCCCATATGCCAGAGGTAGCGGGTTCAAACCCAGCCCTAGCCAAAAACTGAAAAAAAAAAAAAAAAAAAAAAACAAATGGTAGGCAGGTGGGCCACTGAGTCTCAACGCCATTCTAGAATTTCATAATCATTATTGTAAAATGAATTTAATCAGAATAAACAAAAAAAAAGCTCTTTTTAAAAATTATAGATGTCTTGGGTGTAACTAATTATTATTCTATAGATAAAATGCCAATAAAACAGGAAATCATAAACCTAACTATCTTGACTCTTGCTTGAGTGTAATATAACACAAAGAACATTAAAAGGACAGTTTAAGTTGCCTTAAAGAAAGCACCTGTGTTTCAGAAGTGGGCTCAGTTTTCAGCCTTTCCTCCTGGCCTCCTTCAGATAGTAAGCCTTCACTCTCCGGTTCTTTCTTCGGTTGCTTCATTAAGACCCTATTGACTGCACACATGGCTGCCTCTCGGCAGAGTGCCATCAGATCAGCACCAACAAAGCCTGGTGTTAGGTGTGCTAAGTGACAGAAATTAAAATCTTCGGGAAGTCTCAGTTTCCTACACAAAGTTTGAAGTATTCTGTGGAAAAGACAGAAAAAAAGTATCAGATTCCTAATGTAATAGTACAAACAAGTCACCAAACATGTTTATGGCAGTCTTTCATCTCTGTCAATGGGGTGATAAGGGATAGTACATAACATCAGATCGCTCTTTCACTCACAGATGCTAAATCATTCGTATATATTATTCCACATTCTACCTTATTCCACAATGGATTATGGTAAATATCTGCTTTGTCAGGTAGGCACTAGTACTGTGAGGAATACATAAAAAAAATATATTCTGCCTGAAGAATTTTATATTAGGGGGGAAATGTGATAACTCATAAGGGTACTTTTAGAGAAAATTAAATGGACATTTACCAAAAATAAAAGCCTTCAAACTCAAATAACCCATTAATTCTATTAATTATCAAAAGCTATCTTGATACATACATTTTATATTAGAACAGTTACTTCTCTAATTTTATCACTACCTACTGTTCATTTCCGATATTGTAATATGAAAAATTTTATTCAACCCAAATGCCAACACAGTTTGGGTCAAGGAAATATGGACTTCTAGATAATTATTACTAAAAGAATACCTTGGGCGGTGCCTGTGGCTCAAAGGAATAGGGTGCCAGCCCCATATGCCAGAGGCAGTGGGTTCAAACCCATCCCTAGCCAAAAACTGCAAAAAAAAAACCAAACAAAATTGTTTTTTTCTTTTTTTTTGAGGCAGAGCCTCAAGCTATCCCCCTGGATAGAGTGTTGTGGCATCACAGCTCACAGCAACCTCCAACTCTTGGGCTCAAGGGAGTCTCCTGCCTCAGCCTCCCCAGTAGCTGGGACTACAGGTGCCCGCCACAACGCCTGGCCATTTTTTGGTTGCAGGCATCATTGTTGTTTGGCGGGTCCGGGCTGGGGATTCGAACCCGCCACCTTAGGTGTATGTGGCTGGCGCCTTAGCCGCTTGAGCCACAGGCGCC